ACTACTAATACTTTCTATCACTGTAGATTTAAATTTTATTCTTGGTTTAACTCACGTTTCATTTTTTTTCAGTTCGAAGAATTAGAAATAAAGAATAAATTAAACTGAGACTAAAATTAAGCAGATTTTGAAACTATTATGTAAGGCTCGAAATCTGGCTCCCATGAAATCTACAATACCTTTATTATGCATTCATTATTTTTCTTATATGGCATGTAAACCGCAAAAAAATATTTTAAGAAATTTTTTTAACAAATTAAATGAATAAGTGTTTCTTATAGATTTTGGTCTAAATTCGGAAGGCGTTTTGCTCTATCATGTCCAATTTTTTAGATAATTGAGAAAAATGATGGAAATCTATGTAAAGTCCCATTATTGTGCAATAATCAAGCGTGAGACATGGAAAGTTTTTTTTAATTTCAGAAATGGATATTTTAGGCCCATTCTATAATTGCATAAGCGTAATTGTAAGTAACTGCAATTGTAAGAATTCATCAATCACAGACGAATATTCTTCTCATATTCGACTATAATTGGCCAATTCTTACAACTGCAATCATTTACAATTACACATTTTTCAATAAAATACGCTTAAGCAATTGTAGAATGGGTTTTATTTTTGGAAATAAAATAACAATTAAAATATCTAATTAGTAATAAGGCTTATAAATTATATAAAATAAACATGAATGTAAAAAAATAAAAGAATCAGACATGTTTTAAGTTAAAGATTTATAATAGAAAGCTAGCAGACGGACGTTTCGATCGTGATCGGATCATTTTCAATGTTAAAAATACATAATAGTTACAGTCGGAAAACAAAAAAAAACATAAATTATCTATTTCGCTCTGACGCTGGTAACAAGAAAACGAATATCATAATGTACATATTTATATTATATATTATTATATTTATATTATATTATATTTATAATATATAACGGAAAAAAATGTACGCATAATAAAAGCTACTTATAGTCATTAAAATGCTTATAATGTCAATTTTAATAAACCGAATGAAAGTCCTTTGATTAAAAGTGAACGGTAAACGCAAATATGAGTTTGATCCTTGAGTCACAAATTAAAAGAGTTTCGGGTGCAAATAGTATGTTAAAATTAGAGACAATGCGAAAAGAAATGAAACAAAATCTTGTCTCCTCGGTGTTCTGAGACATAATGCAACATGAATTTTTTTCAGACAATAATTATTAATAGGTTAAACAAAAATTTTAATTTCTCATCTACTACTATGGAAATAAAAGTTGTTGAATTTAAAGAAACTGAAAATGAATACAATTAAAATAGAACAAAGAAAGTTTTCATATAAAAGATGATGAAAATATGCAACTCATAGATAAAAAAAATTTTTGTTTTAATTATAGTTTAATTATAGTTTTAATTATAATTTTAATTATAGATTGATTCAGCATTTGTAACGACTGAAAAGGGCTTTATCAAATTGAAACGTTCTACTTAATTAAATACATGTTTTAATTAAATTAATAAACATATATTTTTGCTCGTTTAATTTGGGCTTTTAACTTTTACGAATATATATATATATATTACTTTTTCACGTGTGTACAACAGTCATTCTTACATGTGTGCATGCAAAATGTATGTTATTTGAAATTGGAATCAAAATATACAATGTACTGTCATGGTCTGATATACACATATCAATTCACTCAAAATGATGCGAGGAAATAAAACAATTACTGAGCAGAATATATCATTTACACTGCAAATATATTTATGTACTACTAATACTTTCTGTCATTGTAGATTTAAATTTTATTCTTGGTTTAACTCATGTTTCATTTTTTTTTCAGTTCGGAGAATTAGAAATAAAGAATAAATTAAACCGAGACTAAAATTAAGCAGATTTTGAAACTATTATGTAAGGCTCGAAATCTGGCTCCCATGAAATCTACAATACCTTTATTATGCATTCATTATTTTTCTTATATGGCATGTAAACCGCAAAAAAATATTTTAAGAAATTTTTTTAACAAATTAAATGAATAAGTGTTTCTTATAGATTTTGGTCTAAATTCGGAAGGCGTTTTGCTCTATCATGTCCAATTTTTTAGATAATTGAGAAAAATGATGGAAATCTATGTAAAGTCCCATTATTGTGCAATAATCAAGCGTGAGACATGGAAAGTTTTTTTTAATTTCAGAAATGGATATTTTAGGCCCATTCTATAATTGCATAAGCGTAATTGTAAGTAACTGCAATTGTAAGAATTCATCAATCACAGACGAATATTCTTCTCATATTCGACTATAATTGGCCAATTCTTACAACTGCAATCATTTACAATTACACATTTTTCAATAAAATACGCTTAAGCAATTGTAGAATGGGTTTTATTTTTGGAAATAAAATAACAATTAAAATATCTAATTAGTAATAAGGCTTATAAATTATATAAAATAAACATGAATGTAAAAAAATAAAAGAATCAGACATGTTTTAAGTTAAAGATTTATAATAGAAAGCTAGCAGACGGACGTTTCGATCGTGATCGGATCATTTTCAATGTTAAAAATACATAATAGTTACAGTCGGAAAACAAAAAAAAACAT